CTCAAGCCTGTAATCCCAGCACTTTGGGAGGCCGAGGCGGGTGGATCACAAGGTCAACAGATGAAGACCATCCTGGCCAACATGGTGAAATCCCGTCTCTACTAAAAATACAAAAATTAGCTGGGCATGGTGGCGTGTGCCTGTAGTCCCAGCTACTCGGAAGGCTGAGGCAGAATTGCTTAAACCCGGGAGGCAGAGGTTGCAGTGAGCTGAGATTGTGCCACTGCACTCCAGGCACTTGGTGACAGAGTAAGACTCTGTCTCAAAAAAAAAAAAAAAGATTTTATACATTTCTACACCAATATATGCTGCATAGAACTGAAAACAGCCTGTATATTTTAACTATCCAATTAAAGCTCTTCCCAAGAAAGAACTGGTAACTTTTACATCTATTATATTAAAAATGCTAAATTAAAAATATTTATCTACTTAGGATAAAACTGAAAAATTATGTTTCAGATTTAAAATCACTAAGAAAAAGTTTTATGTCAGGCATGGTGGCTCACACCTATAATCCCAGCACTTTGGGAAGCCGATGCAGCAGGATCACCTGAGATCAGGAGTTCAATACCAGTTTGGCTAACATGGCAAAACCCTGTCTCTACTAAAAGTATGAAAAAAATTAGCTGGGCATGCTGGTGGGTGCCTAGAATCCCAGCTACTCGGGAGGCTGAGGCAGGAGGATCACTAAAACCCAGGAGGCAAAGGTTGCAGTGAGCCAAGATTGTGCCATTGCACTCCAGACTGGGTGACAAGAGCGAAACTTCATCTCAAAAAAAAAAAAAATAGAAAAAGTTTTATACTATAAATGTATTGACTCAAATCAAGACAGAGAGGTAGAGGACTCATATTGTCAGATTACTTAATTTCAAATCAACCTTTTAAAAAACAAACCAACATTTATATTTAAGTTCTTATGAACCAAAATAAAATTTAAATATGAAAAATAAGAAAAAGGCTCAAGAAAGTGATAAAATTAGCAGGCACAAACTGCTCTCTTCTTATACTTACAGTTTGATAGGCAAAAAAGCACGAGTGGCTGACCTCAGAGAAATATAACACAAAAGTTTTCCTTTATTTAAAAGCTGTCCTTTCCACAAGGTATAGTTATATTTATCTAAATAAAAAGAATAATGACACAGCTTAGTCATTTGGCAGCCCAGAGAAGTGAGAGCACATTTATTAGAAATGAGAGGGAAAACATATAGAAACAAGGTTTAAGTAGGAAAGAAAAAAAAAAAAAAACCAGTGACACTTCTACACTGTTATTTACTGAAGAGTTCAAATATTAGGTTTTTCGTTACAGGTATTTTTTCCCCCTACAAAATCATTCCAGGTGCAAACAATAACAAATTTATCTAAGTGTCATCATTAGAAAGTTGTGGAACAAAGACAAGGTAATTATTCTTTTCTTATTTCCCCCAAAGGACACTGTATTAGATTTGGTTGATTACATGAATGCCCACGATGTTCTGTATCTTCTACTAAGTATCTTTTCACTATAAAGAAACTTTAAAATAGGCTGGTTGCGGTAGCTCACTCACTCCTGTAACCCAGGAGGCTGAGGCCAGTTGATCACTGAGGTTAGGAGTTCAAGGCCAGCCTGGCCAACATGGTGAAACCCCATCTCTACTAAAAATACAAAAAATTAGCCATTGTGGTGGCGGGTGCCTGTAATCCTAGCTACTCAGGAGGAGGCTAAGGCTGGAGAATTGCTTGAACCCAGGAGGCAGAGGTTGCAGTGAGCCAAGATAATGCCACCAAACTCCAGCCTAGGCAACAGAGTAAGACTCCATCTCAAAAAAAAAAAAAAGAAAAGAAAAAAACTTTTAAAATAGTTTAATGTCAATGCTACTTTCAATCTTCTCTAATTCTCTCCTAAGTCCTATACCTCTGGTGAATTTAATACTTTTAAAAGGCCGAGTTATGAAACCTTTTTCATTTTTTACCTTTTTCAATTAATTGCTAAAAATCTTTTTATCTATTCACAGCAGATTTTTTTTTTTTTTTTTTTTTTTGTTTCGGATTTTCGCTCGTTACCCAGGCTGGATTTCTATGGCGCGATCTCGGCTCACCGCAACCTCCGCCTCCTGGGT